CACTTTAAATTAGCCCATAAATCTTGCTCTAATTTCCTGGTTTTTAGTGTAACTTTATTTTAGGTAATTGTGTTTTATGACAGAGTTACTGTTCATTTATCTTGTGCTGTCTCAATCCTACTGTTCTGTCACGAGCGATGCAACACTGACATTTCCCCACTGTGGGACCCATACAGCATCTCTTCCTCTTCACTTCCTGGTTGGAGTGTGGGAGCCATGGCAACGCGTCACATGGACTTAAAACCAGAGCCCTGGGATTACTCAAACATTTGGCACTTTGGGCTCAGACAACAGCGGAGGGGTGTGCAGGGTTCAGGTTGCCGGTTGGATTCCCGTGTGAGACTGATGAGGTCTCGGCCCTGACCCTCACTCCTATAATTCTCCTGAACTTAAACAGAACTCTCAGATCCGGAAGATTTCATTCATAAAACTGGCTCTGGCTCCAGGGAGGACGTGATGTATATCCTCTGACACCTACTACTACTACTACTACTACTACTACTACTACTACTACTACTACTACTACTACTACTACTACTACTACTACTACTACTACTACTACTACTACTACTACTACTACTACTACGTCTACTTCTACTGTAAGGGTTAGATATTGTGAATAAACAACCACGTCATGATGCACAGGATCCCGTTTGGTCTGAGTTTGATTCCCAACACTACTACTACTACTGCTGCTGCTGCTAGTAGTAGTAGTATTACTGTAACCCACCAAATATTAGTTATTTTCTGTTTCTTTAAATGTTCGCTAAACGGAGCGTTTCCGCATTAGTCCATTAGAGAGCGCTATTGTTTTTAGTGTGAATGCTCCGCCATCTTGTGAGATGTTGGACATCACGTGTAAGTGTTTAAAATACTTCTGAAATGTGTGATTAACAATTTTAATTTGGGTTCTTAGAGTTGATAATAACAGCAAGAGGTTCTGGAGACCAGGATTATTTCGAGTCTGTGCGTTCTTGATGTGCTATGCAAGCTAGTTTATGCTAAGCTAGTTCATGACACTGCATTTTCTTTTGACATGATATCGTGATTATTTCTTTTAAAAACAATCTGAGAAAATGTTAAACTATATGTAGATGAGAACTATTTACAGAAACATGATCATAAGAAGGTTTTACATTGTAATGTACAATGTTAATGTTACATTTGAATGCTGCGCACTGTGTAAAGTGTAGTTGGAGATTAGATAAAACTCATCTATATAAATATTGACTATGAGAGAATTATATTAATGGTTTTTGTAAGACCTGAGGACTGTTTGGTGCTTGGCTGGTGTCACAGAGTTTTCATCGTCTTGTCGCTGGAGCCAGAGAAGGACGACGCCCGACCACCTCCAGGACTGAAGCACTCCCAGGCGGGTCGGGCGGGGCAGTCCGCAGGTGTAGATGGAGGAGGCCAGCAGTGTTGCCAACTCCTCAGTAAGGAAAGTAGCTATTGGCTGTCCCAAAAGTCGCTAGAAGTCGCTAAATGACGTCATCGCCTAATTTGCATAATTTGCAATTTGCAAATAACTGTAACGGACGCTGTAGGAGAGAGGAATAAGGTCGTGGGAGAGACAAAAGTGAGTAAAAACACCCTAAATATGTTTAGAACTACAAATGTACAAAAATAATTTCAACATTAACAACATTTAATGATTTTAATGCTTTGTCTAGATCCACATTACACACATCAGTTTTGTCCTGTATTGTTAAATGTTATAACAGCAAATGTAATCAAAAGATTGTTATGTAGGGTGAAATTGCTAGCTCTACAACCAACCCTCCTCCTTTATCCGGGCTTGGGACCGGCAAAGTGACCCAAAAGACACACTCTGGCAGAGTTACTTAGGTTTATTTTTGTAAGTTTTTTTTTTTTTTTCATAGTTTGGCATAACAAATGATTTAATGTGACCCACTACTGAGAGAAAACAGAGTCACGGACAGAGCTGCCGCGGATGGAGTGGGGGGAGTGGGGGGTGGCGGTGGTAGGAGTGGCCGGGGAGCTTTGGATGTGTGGTGGTGGTGGAGCTGAAGTTCAGTCTGCAGCAGCCTGAAAACTTCCTGTGCTTTTGAGTCTCCTCTCTCTCTCTCTGCTCCGCCCATAGACTGTAGCTGGGACTGCTGCGCAAGGCTACTGTGAGACTGGCCGCCTGTAAGTGCTTTGGGACGGGGGAGGGGCTCACGTTGAGGACAGCAGAACAATACGTGCTTCACGAGTCTCCAAAACACCAGATAAGTCGCCAAAACACCAGATAAGTCGCCAATAACACCAGAAAAAGTCGCTAGATTTGTCGCTAGTCGCTTTTTTGAAAAAAAGTCGCTATAGGGGTCTGAAAAGTCGCTAAATCTAGCGACAAAGTCGCTAAGTTGGCAACACTGGAGGCCAGGCTCAGAGATCCCGTCATCGTACCATGAAACAGACAATGGGACAACGGGTGAATAGCAATGAACAAACTACAGTCAAAATCCTAAAAATGCTAAACAGATAAAGTAGGAAGGAG